CTCATTCAGGGACACGTTCAACTCCCACCTCTAGGAGAGCCCTTCTTGGATTCTGGGATTCGTAGAAAAAGAAAACAAAATCCAAAGCCACTTATTTTTTCCTCCCCCATCACGAATTTGTCCTCCAAAAAGAAAGTTCACTTGTGCTTTATCTTGAGAAAGCACATTTTATATTTTGAGGCTTTCAAAAAAGTCCTGAGATAAATAAAAAGATAATAACTGCAGACGCTTTTTCAAAGGGGAAACAGTTTTACTATAGAGATACCCATTAGTTTCCGTACACGATTTTCAGCATTCTTACAAAATTGAGATTAGATTCACTGCTAAGAAATATTTACACCTATAGATTGTTGATGCAAAAAAGAACAAAAAAAAAAAAAAAACAAAAAAAATTTTTTAGCTCAATATACAACATCATAAATACATGTACGTCATTACTTGAAAGAGGATAAACATCCAGGTAAAAGTAATATATGTTCACATTAAGTAAAAAAAACAAAAACAGATAAAGGTAACTTCTGATAAAACAAGCAAACGAAAACAGCAAAAAACCCATCATCAATAAGTGAAACGACAAACATTTTGCAAAAACAAAGAGCAGCTGTACCAGTTCTAAAACGCTTGTGTCCTTTTGGATACTTTTCCTAGAAACAGAAGCTGCTTATTTACATATCATTTCTCCTAATTATGTTCAGACTCTTGTACAGATATTAGTGAAATATTATCAGTTTGTAAGCACTGTGTTTGGTATTTACATATGCACACACATAGAGGGTAATAGAGATTCATGCTTTGCAAATCATCCCATGGGACTGCTGCAATTTCACTGCAGCACATAGAGAAAAGTGATATGCATAATTTCCACATCCAGCCATAAAACACAATGCATATTGATAAACGGTATCTGATCTCTTTGATCCAATCTATTTAGATACTAACTGTATAGAAATAAACAATATTCTAATCTAGCAAAGGCAGATATTTTTTATATCCTCTCATTGATTGAAAAAGAAGATTCGTTTCTGAAATGGAATCTAATTTCAAATCTAAGTAGCTGATAAGTAGTTTTAAAAAGCATTTTTTTTTTGAAATTCCTCACATTTAAATTCTCTAGAATCAATCTGAACACTAGGTTAAAAGGTAAGCAGTGAAATTCAGTTCTTTAAACAACTAAAGGAGAGCACTATTGAATAATTGTGTCATCTGCATAAAAAATGTATGTGGTATTTAATAGTGTTGCGCCGATGCCATTTTTTTGGCCCCGATACTGATACCCGATACCTGGCTGTGCAGTATTAGCCGATACCGACACCATCTGTTTTATTTTAATTGATGTGTGTATGTATATATGAAGAACTGCATACTACTTAGATGTAAAATAATTGCCATCATGGCTTTGTCAAGCTGCTGCCTACCTTTGTGAAGCAAGAAAAAGACCAAAACAAAGTGAATCCAATAGAACTTTTTATTGCCTACCTGGAATGGGTGACAATAGTTGAATAAAGTTTTGGCTCTAAAAATGGTATTGGTGCGCTATTTGTCAGTACTCGCTGATATCGATACCACCATTTTAGTGCTGGATCTGGGCCCTGCCCGATACTGGTATTGGTATCGGTGCAACACTAGTATTAAAAAAATTATTCATAAAAAGCAGAGATGGGAAGTAACAAAGTACAAATACTTCGTTACTGTACTCAAGTAGATTTTTCGGATATTTTTTTACTTTACTTTACTACTTATTTTTATGGCGACTTTTTACTTCTACTCCTTACATTTTTACACAAATATCTGTACTTTCTA